CCACGAGAGGAGGGGGGGCGGTCAGTCCGGGGGGGGGGGGGGGGGGGACTCATCCACGAAAGTCCAATCAAAAGCATTATCGTCACCTGTGGTGAGCAAATAGAACACATGTACATACACTGTATATCGCTTTGTTATGAAGTGTCCTCGATGACGGAGGCTGACCAAGCCGCCCGTGCTTTTTAGAATGCACTAATAAGACACCGCGTCGCTGTTGTTCACGAGAGGTGCCAAGTCAGACTTTGGACATGGAATTGGTACCTCTGAAAAGTGACAATCAAAGTTACAGTTGAGGGGTTTGATTTTTAGAAATGGAAAACACTTTTTTTTTTAATGGGTCAATATGCTTTCATATTTGTTTTGGGGTTTTTTTTGTATTTGGCCCACCTGCTCTGTTATATTGTTTTTTGAGCACATTTGCCTTTACTGCTTGCCTTGTCTGTGGCTATCTCACATGCGTGAGGAACCTATTTCAGTTTACAGAAGTCCTCTGAGGGGCCATACAAAGTTTATTTGGGAGGCGCGGTGTTGTCAATTATGCAATTCAGTATTATCAGCATTTGAAAGTTTTTTTTTTAATGTAATAGGTATTTATTATCATCCTTGCGACAATTAAATCCCCTTTCTGAGCCTCAACGTGCAAACACAAACAAGTGGCATGTATCAAGGTGAAAATGTTTTTTATTTTAGGGGTCCTGGAGACATCTCCCAAACTCACTTAAGAGCGCCACCTGAGAAGTTAGGGATAAAAAATTTTAAAAAATTAGTCCTCGACATCACTTTCACAGATGAACACCAAATTTTGTGCACAGGTCTATGGCAGGCCCCAATCAGAAGCAGGGGTCCTGACATTGGTTCCCCGCCCCTGCTCGAAATATATGTGTCAATGGAAGTGTGTGGAGTTCAGTAACGACACTAATACATGTAATTGTTTTGTAAAAAGAAAAAAAAAACTGTTTTTTGACGCTGGTGATAATGCTAGATGCGCATATTGTTCTTGAACATGAAAGACATTTGAGCCTTTGCGTGCTTGTCGTATTTTGTGAAATATCTGTTTGGCTGGTTATGCTGGACTGCTTTTCTTTGGGGCGACCCGCCTCGCACAAATGATTGTATTAGCAATCGTAGCTGCCGTCGAAAAAGATAGTGTACAACAAACAGAATGGAGTTTTGCTCGTACAATGAAAATTCTCCTCAAGGCTTCTCTTGTAGAGATATTAAGTGACAGGATTATCATTAGAGGTGAGGATGAACGACTCCCCACTGCAGTGGTGTTTTTTTTTTAATTTCTTTAATTTTACACTGCACAGAGGCAACAATTCCCGTTAAACTCAGTCAGCCAGCCTCATCCTTGATGACACAATTTGGAATGGTGCTACATGTCCTGCTACATTCAAGTTCCGTTGAATACTGTCTCTATTTATAACCCCACCCCCACGGATAAACATTAATTCATTTTTTTCCTCCCAATGGTTTATTTTATTATTATTTTGTGAACATGCTTTATATTTGTACATAAGGATTGTGTTTGTTTTTGAAAGAAGGGAACAGTGTTGTAAAAACATTGCATTATGATTATCTGTCCTCTGTGATGTGAAATAAAAATCTGTGAAATAATTGTGATGTTTTTGCACACTTAATACACAATCTAAGCCAAAATAAATGTGTATTCTGCATTTGAAACATCCTGATCAGGATCTTGATCCTCTGCAACACAACAAGGGCCATGGGCTAGTAGTTGGGGACATATTGCCAATAACGATATACCACATTTTAAAAAGTGTAAAAAAAAAAAAAAAAAAAGCACACTTTTTATTGTCTACAGTTGAACATAACCTGATTTTATGAAGGTATATTTATTTTTAGAATTTGAAAGGTTACAATTATATATTCAAACACACATTTCACGCGTTTAGTATTTTAGGTTGTAATAAATGTTAAATTAAATACATGTAATTTATGTATATTTACGTACTGTTTCTTGTGTATAGTACAGTGCATATTAAATTATTCCTTGTAATCATAATCAGTCATTATCAATTACCTTTAGAAAGTTGAAGTATTATTACAGTTTATAGTGACATGATTAATACTCTTTAAAATTATGTGTTATCCATTTATATATTTTTAATTACAACATAGGATAGAATTCAAAATGAGTTGGGAGAAAACGCCACGAAACAAATAAAAGGGGCGTGTCTTCCTTCGAGTTCTTTAAATATGGACGTCCCTGCTGCCCGCCGATTGGCCATGTAACCCGGACGTTCTTCCCTCATCATTTTATGTGATCATCAAAGTCACGAATGAAGCGGTTCAGTAAACAAGGGGTGGGCGGGGGTATTTCTACCTCTTAACATTATTAGACCACGGAGAACTGCAGCTACATGATACTAACGCGTGCATCGCGGACGAGGCTGGGATATGTGACGTCACAGCGGAGGTTCAGTCTTGCGACCGCGGCCAGGTTATTGCGGTTAGCCGCGATGCTAACGCCATTACGCTAGCCGTGGGCGACACAACCACAGCGTCGTTCGGTTCTGTGGCCCGCGAAGCTTCAACGTCGTCGTCGTCTTCGCTCAAGTACGTTCCGCGCAGGACATTCAAACAAGATGAAGGTGGAGTGCTTGGAGTCGGAGAACAAAGCGACGGAGGACGGCGTCGTTGTCACGTTCAAAAGTGAGGACGACCCGTGGTCACGTGATGGGACGGACGACGACCCGGGGGACGATTACGCCGATGGACACGACCTCGACATCCGAATCAAGGAGGAGCCGCACTGCCTGCAGATCAGCGAGGTCCACTGCGGACTCACGCTAGATGCTCACCGTTCTTTCAAGGCTGAGCCCGACCTGGACTTCCAGGACGAATTCGAGTTAGAGGAAGCTGTCAAGGAGGAAGACGTCATCAAAGAGGAGGAGGAGGAGGAAGAAGAAGAAGAAGATCAAGAGGGTGAGGAGTTACAAGATGATGAGCAGATGGAGGATGGAGAAGAAGATGGCACAGGTGAGAAAGCCAAGGAAATCTGTACATTTTGTGCATTGTAGTCTGAAAATTACAGTACTAAATCATTTTTCCACTTTCCTTTAATCCTTTTCTGTCAGAGTCGTCATCAGCGTTCTTCCCCTGTCCTCATTGCGACGTATCCTTCACAAACCTGGACTTCCTGGAGAAGCACGTTAAGTGGGTCCACCAGAAGGAGTACCTCGCCGAGCTGAAGAAATGCCTCTCGGACCGCGACCAAAACCTCATCCCAGAGCACGTCTGCACCACCTGCGGCAGCACCTTCAGCTCCAAAGTCTACCTGCGGGTCCACATCAAGGAGGCCCACCCTTCCGCCCCGCCCCGCCGGCTCCACCCGTGCCCGACGTGCGCACGCAGCTTCCAGTACTTGAAGAACCTGAAAAACCACTGTCAGCGCTGGCACAGCATGTCTGTTGTCATCAGGGGGGGGCACCTGTGCTGCACAGACTGCGGTAAGAGCTTCAAGGCCACCTGGGGACAGGGACCTCACCTGTGCCACGCGCCGCACGCCGAATCTGAGGAGAAGCCTATTTGTCTGGACGTGGGCGTGCAGTGTAGCGAGTGCGGCAAGAAGCTGCGTACGCCACAGAGCCTGGAGGACCACATGCGCACCCACACGGGCGACCGGCCGTTCGTGTGCAAGGACTGCGGCCGGCGCTTCGTGGAGCGCAGCAGTTGGCGCCAGCACGCCCTGATCCACACGGGCGAGAAGCCGCACAAATGCCAAGTGTGCGGCAAGGCCTTCCAGAGGGGACACCAGCTCAAGTGCCACCTCACCACGCACTCGGCCAAGAAGGAGTTCTCCTGCGGCCAATGCGGGAAGGAGTTTGGACTCAAGGCCAGCTTGAATCTGCACCTCCGGACGCACTCGAGTGAGAAGCCCTTCCACTGCCCGGTGTGCACCAAGAGCTTCAACACCCGCAAGAACCTGCGCGTGCACAGCAAGCTGCACAACGGGGAAAAGACGCACCAGTGCAGCGACTGCGGCCTGAAGATCAGCGACCTGGGCGCGCTCAAGATCCACCTGCGCACGCACACCGGCGAGAGGCCCTACCACTGCACCGTGTGCGGCAACAAGTTCATCCGCCTGGCGCACTTGCGCAACCACCAGCGCACGCACACCGGCGAGCGGCCCTACAAGTGCGACCAGTGCGACAAGAGCTTCACGCAGTCGGGCGACCTCGTCAAGCACAAGCGCACGCACTCCGGGGAGAAGCCCTTCGAGTGCCCCGAGTGCCAGCGACGTTACACGTCGTCCGGCGACCTGGGCAAGCACCGCCGCAGTCATACCAACCTGCGGCCGTACAATTGCCAGGAGTGCGGCAAGAGCTTCCGTCTGTCGGGCCATTTGAAGACGCACATGCTCACGCATACCGGCGAGAAGCCCTTCTCGTGCCCCAACTGTCTGCGCAGGTTCGCGCGCTCGCACCACCTCTCCGGACATGTCGCCAAGTGTTGCTAACTTTGCAACTGTGCACTTAGCGCCATTTTTCTGTGGGATTTTTTTTCGACCCAAATACAGTGGAATCTCTTAAGTGGGGCTCGGTAGGAGGGGACCCTGTCATACCACAAATAGCGAAAAAATTTTGAGTTAGGGCACGGTGATCTGTATTTAGAAAAAACAAAAAAAATTGATTTGAGTCAATTCCTCCACACACACACCCCCACCACTGCCTGTCTACATAAAGAAAAGCACATGACGATGACATTCATCAAAACTAGAAGCGGCCCTTTAAATACAACCCTCTTTTACATGTTCGACAATTTAGTCTTAATAAATTGACAAGTTTATATTTCAATGAAATGCTGAACTGAGAAAAAAAGGGGAGTCTGTTGCTTGAAGTGTTATGGCATCACTCTGCTGATGTATACACCCTATTTTTTCCTTTTTTTGAAAACTTGCATATACAGTGTTATCTTCGTGTTCATTGAACCCCAACAATTTGTTGGTTCGGCATTCATGAATTTACAGGTTTTGGGGTGGAACCGACCCTTTATCAGAGATGAAAGTCCTCCGGGTTTTCCCGGAATTCCGGGTTTTTCAAATTTTTATGAAAATTTCTCCGGAGAATTGAGGAAAATTTGCATAATCCGGATATTTCTTGACAACATTGAACGAAGACGCGTTTGAGTTCGTTGTATTGCTTTCACGAGCGTAGCCATATTGAGGCACTAACACTAGTAACAGTAAAGAGATTTTTGTTTGTGTAATAACGACAGAAGGAAGGCATGATGGCGTTTGACTAATGGTTTAGTAGAACGAATGGCAACTCGCAGCAACAGTAGCAAGCGTCATTTTGCCTCTTGGGTTATACCATCTCAACTAGAACGTGGGGGATAGTCCCCAAACAATTTTCGTCTCTTTATAAACACACCCGCTAAACCCCAGTGGAACGAATAAAAGACGCCGTCAACAAGACAGTTGTCGTAAAATATATATTTGGCCAAAAAGGGAAAAACACAGATTGGCAGAAAATCGTGTCCGTCCGACTCAGTGTCGTCTCGGCTAACTTAGCTTAGCTGTTGTCGTGTGTGACGTCATTTGCGTCGGCGCTGATTGGTTGAAATCAAAAGACGCGCTTGCGTACGTGTTCGCGCTGAAAGCCGCACAGCAGAGAGCAGCGGACTATCTACTGCTGAGGCTCGCTTAGCTTGAGTGGAGTCGCCACAACAGTAAGACCCTCGCCTCGCATTCTCATGGCCTCGCCATATCTTGGAGATTTCGAAATTTCGGCCCGAACGGAAGCCACAAAGAGTACACGTGTGCACTCAAAAGAAAGATTAATCATTGAATGTCGAGTATTTGAATAGCGTTTTGTATAAACTAATTCATACTTGATCGGCCAAGTGCGTGCGTGCGCGCGCGCGCGCGCATGCGTGTGTGTGTGTGTGTGTGTGCGCGCGCGCGCGCGCACACACACACACACACACACACACACACACACACACATACATTTATTTATTTTTTTTTCCGGAATTTTCAGAAAAGTCCACTTTCATCTCTGCTTTATGTAAATTTGACGCAATGTCACATCACAGTCGGGAAACATCCAGAACAGAGAGTGGACAGACCGTTATTCAAGCTCTTTTCAAAAGTCCATCCATCCATCCATCCATCCATCCATCCATCCAATTTCAACACTGCTTATACTGAACAGGGTCGTGGGGAGTTGCTGGACCCTATCCGAGCTGACTATGGGTGGAAGGCAGACTATACTCCGAACTTGTCGCCAATCAGTCGCCGGGCACATAAAGAGACATACAACCATTCACGCCCACATCCACACCGTCACTGAGTGGAAACCGAGTTGACCTTGGACTGTACAAATTTTCGGTGGGCTATTGAAGATTAGATGACTTCATAGATAATTTAACCACAAGGCCAATTGTCAAAGTAGTCTGTAGAGGTTCCACTGTATTTGTAAACACGGCTTGGAAATTGGCGCACAATCTCATGCTCTTTAAGTTTTGTTTTGTTTTTATCAAGTTTGGTAGATCCTCTCATTTTGCCTTTTTTTATTATTTTTATTTTTTAAAACACTAATATTACAAATTGCTGTTCGTATACATGGCCAACCCGTCCTCACTAATTCGTGTTGTACTAATTGGACAAAATGTAATAAATTATATGAACACTGTGTGTGTGTGTGTGTGTGTGTGTGTGTGTGTGTGTGTGTGTGTGTGTGCGTGTGTGTGTGTGTGTGCGCGCGCGCGCGCGTGAGTCTCTTTACCGGAAATAAACCAAGATCTTCATGTTTGAAGCTCATGGGCACAACGGCGCTCGCCTCAAAATTAAGTGCCTCCCAGCAGGGCGGGTGAGTTTAGCACTGTGCCATTTCAAGGAGAAAAGCTCCGCCCACGAATAAACCCGCCATGTTGTGCACAGAAACAAGCACACGCGAATTCAAATTTGCGTAAGCAGGTGAAACTCACGAGTTATACTCCGATTTGTGGAGAAAAAAATGCGCAATCCATTTTCATGTGTCCCGTTTGACCGAGTACACTGCCCACCTCACCCTTGAGTGGAAAAAGCACAGTCCCAGGCTCAGAAACAAACACACCCGAATTCAATTTTGGTGGCTTGTATGCTGCAGACAAGTAAGTCCCTTTAGTCAAACTCGTAACTTTTTTTAACGCCCCATGACCACCACCGGGGAGGTGACACGTTCCTGCAAACTTTGGCTGTTTTGAATTGGAACTCCAGTAAAGCCCCTCGCATTTTATACACGTAAGTATGAAATTGAACTTTCACTCAGTTCCTAGCCATCTTGTTTTGAGGGAAGGAGGCTGTCAATACAATTGAAGGTGTGCAGGAATTGGTTTCGTTCGCGTATTAGCAGAAGACAAAAAAATGTAACAATTTCTAGACCATGTTAGGGGAATTCAGAGATTTGTTCCTTAAATGCGTTATGCATGTTCAATATTAGTTGCTGAAGACAAAAAGACTGAGAACTAAGGAGTTGCGGAGATGTAGTGTACGGATGGCTGATGTTGCATTCATGGAAGGTAGGAATTTGGCCGACTCGGGTCGTCCTAATTCCGAACTCTATGTTCCAGGCGAATGTAAACCACAAAGATGGCTGATTATGATCAATTGTTTTCTTGTTCTGGTGCGTCACAACATCTTCCGACCTCCAGCAAAACGTCCTTCATCATATCCTTTAGTTATACAAATAATGCAATATGTTAACTTCAAAGCGTTTCAAACATTTCACCAAGTCACTTCATGTTGGGGCATATCAACGTAGTCAGTCCAAATGACATTGTGTTATTTCTAATAGTTAAAACAATTTCACACATAAAGACAGATAATAATGTATTAATAACATTGAAAGCGATGATGTTTGCATGTCAAAACCCCACTATATCAATATTTTATAAGTCAGTCATGGGGGAAGTTCTGTTTACTTGGAATAGAAAGTTAAGAAATTAGACTTCGAATATGTTCTTGTGCATTTTCTATTAGATCTGGGTGGACTGTGCGAGTGTGGCTTTTATTATGGTGACTTTCTTTTAAAACAAATGACCATTTTGCTCGAAAGATGACCCAAAAAAACATGCATTTGAAACATGTTGTAGTGCGCAATTTGGGCCACCAGAGAGCTGTGTCGACATCCTTATGGACGTTTACTATTGATGGGCCGTAAAATCAAAGGCAAAAGCAACTCGACCCATGCTGTGGTCGGATGACCGACAACAAAAAAATTTGGTGCCCAATGCCAGCACAAGCGACATCAACTTAAAGTATATAAAGTCCATGTAAACAAAAAAAGCGTACAAAAACACTAAATACATACAAATAAGAAAATCATGTGCAATCAACACATACGGAAACGTTCATGATAAATTCCAAAATATAAACAGAAACTTTGTTCTTAACTAAAATGTCTCATTTTAAAAAAATCTGAGAAATCAATACAGGTCCAGTAATTATTGGATCATTCCTGACGTTTTCCCAAATGTTTGTCTTCACCATTAAAAAAAAAGGTTTTCTTTGGGTTTCAGATCACATGGAAATTGATCATTTGTCTGCTTTTTATTGGGACGGCGCGGATATGGGAACGCCCCTCAAATTGATTGGCACTTGAGCGCATTGAATTACCTTGGAAAGACCTGCTTTATTTTCCCGGCGTTCTCTCGTTATCTGCCAATTTGACGGCGGTTGCCGCGTGCCCTCTCATTCATTTACATCACAGCAAAACGCAGCGGCGTCCAACCTGTCTCCGTCGATTCCGTGGCAATTGCTCCATTATTTTTATGTCCGCAATTACGAGGACAGAGCGGCGAGCGGCACCGACTCCCCGCGCAGATAACAAAGATATATTTAGGGGTAAATAATATTGACTGTACCTTTGTTTAAAGCTGGAATCGATACTTTCTAAAGCGTGTCCATTTTTCATTTAGCCGCGTCATGGCCGCGAGTGGGAGGGGCCTCGAGATGAATGGGTTGGACCCTCTAATTCCCCCCCTTGCAGTTATCATAATTGTTGAACAAGCGCCACTTTTAAAGATCGGGTTCGAGGAAAGGCAGGCCACACAAAGAAGGCTAATAGATTTGGAAAATTGAGATGGATCACGCCGAGCGCCACCGTCGTCTTTTTTTTTTTTTAAATATTATTTCATTTTTCTGCCCCTTCATTTTTTTTCCTCCGCCGGTGCGACAGGACAAATATGTTCCTGGGATGAAGAGGTGTTTGTCTTTGCGAATGCACCCCGGTGAATAAAGCTGCCTCTGTTGTTTGTCTTGTGTTTGACGCCTGCACTGAAGAAGCGAGCTGCAGTTACCCTCTGGAACCAGTAGGGGGAAACGAATCACTGCGCAAAAAAGATGCTAGGGTGGGTGGGGGGGTGGTTTGGAGGGCGACCAGCTTGGGAAAAGTTTGTGAAGTCGGGAAGCATGTCGGACGTGGTCAGCGTTGCAGGGAGGAAAAACAGCGTCTTCACGCTACAAGGATGGTCGTTCACGTTTTCGGCGTAAGAGAAAACTATTGATGATTTCAAGTTTTCATAAAATACTTTGATTTTATGAAAACTTGAAATCATCAGTTTTCATTTGCAGACTTGGAGAAAAAAATTTTTTTTTT